ATCTGCAGTCGATTTTAATTCTTGCTTAATTTTTCTCTTCATAGAAATGCTTAGCCCCGTACCATGTTTGGTTCCGTACTTCAGAGCACTATCGATTGAAGAACACTGTCGATTAATCAAGCGTTTCAGTTAAAAGAAGCCTATCGCCGCTTCTTCCCTATAGGAGCTTTCTTGTTAGTGCCATTGATAGGACCTCTCTTCGAATGCATTTTCAAGAATCCAGACGAAGAAATGAAGAAGAAGGTAACCAGTTACTGTGCCTATATTTGTTTCTAACCATAGCTTTAAACACCGCTATACGTCAATTTCGCTTTTTTAGGGTTTGGCCACCATAATGGAGAAGACAGAATGTCTGCTGGATGACATCTTGTACTTCCATGACAGAAATATGAAGATTAAAAGAGGAGAGCCAGTCGACTGAGCCGTTCACAATAAAGTTTGTAAACCAAATGTAATGAATCAAGATCTCTTCGTTCCTTCGCACGTAGTACATACAGAGCTAGCATCAAATAGTAGGAGCAATCACTGAGCCTACAACTCACAAGTTTTTAGGTAGTAGTTTCGAATGAAGCGAACGTTTTCCGCTATTTATTCATAGATTTTACCAGGTGAACGGAGTTAATATGTTATGTCCAAGATTTCACCTCACCATCGAGAAACAGTCATTGGGTTTAACGAGCAAAGTTTTCGACCGTACGAGCGCATTCATGCTTCACCATCCAATCGCTCAGGCTGCGTTCATACATTGCGGCAGCGTCTACCAGCGTCCACCAGCGACCACTAGCGTTCCGAGCGTCCGGCAGCGTCGGCGACCGGGATTACGTAGATATCGATCTATGCGTCCTGGCCAGCGTCAGAAAAAAAAAAAAAAAAACCCCAAGCGATCCGGGTGTAGACCAGTAGCTGGGGAGAGTAGGATGCTAGCAATCAGCTGATTAGACGTCGTGAAGTAACGGTGTGTGTGAACCGCTATACTACAACTAAACTCTACACTTGAATTACGTAATTTTATGCCGCTAGCAATGTGCTGTCGTACGGTTGCAAACGCCGCAATTTCACAGCGCCTAATCCAACTGTTTGCTGGGTGTGCAGTGACAGAATCGTCCGGTGCAGCTGGTGAGCGTGGTCTGCGAATCCTTGCCGCGAGACAAATCATGCGTTTGGCCGTTTGAATAGGGATATTGAGCGAACGGTAAAGATTGATATCAACCAGGATCGCGCCTTGTGCTCAGTCACGGTTGAAGTTTTGGTTTTTTCTTTGTTTCTTCCACAGAGAATGGAAAAGTTCATTAGAGCATGAATTTCATTAGGGTCTTTAACCTTTGCTCTGGTTGTGTCATCTTTTACAGCAGCTCACAGGAAAACTTGACCATTCATCTATCAAATGTTGACGCTGACGACTGCGCGAATCATGTGAATCACAAAAACGTAGGGAGAATAACTGCCTTATTTGTTTTCTTTTGTATTTGTTTATTTCCTGAAGTTGCGTCTATGGATCCGCCAGACAATTGTGTTACTATCAAGAGAAACGTTAGATTTTCAATTATTGATGGAATCTGGTAAACGTTGCGGATGTACGCTGTAGTAGATCAATTGCTCCAATCGCAAAGCTATCGGCTAGCAAATGCACTTCCGTGAGCTGCTGCGTCATTCGCCGCGTGCTGCGGGCGCTGCCCCGGACGATTCTGTTGCACGTCTCTCCTGTTTGCTACCCTTCTACTTCCCCATACTCTATCAAAAAAGACACTTTTCTCCCTTGATTTTTTTGAGGCTCTATAAGTTTCACTTGATTGAACATTTTTACCACCATATTAAAGAGCATATTAAATACTATCATGACACTCCGCCACAGCCTTCTGGACGAGCGCCATCGAGAGATTCTGGCACGCGACCGCGATGTGGTGCCTGAGATCAGCGAGATAGTCGATTTCTCCGCCACCGTAGACCACCCTATTGAACTCCGCCCGAACCGGGTAATTGAGGGGATTCAGGTCAGGTGACCTACTTGGATATTCCATCTTCTTTAGGTACTCAGCCCCCTTCCATTCCAAGTAGGCGAGAGTTTCTCCAACGCCCTTCGATTCCATGTGGTGGCACCCAATGCTGTAGCAGTACAAAGTTTCCAAGAAGGTACGGGCGACGACATGTGGGGAGGATAT